ATTTTTGTTGACCTTTGTCCATGGAAGGTCCCTGCAAAATTTCATTGAAATTGGTTCAGGGGTTTTGGAGAAGAAGTCGAAAATGTAAATTGTTTACGGACGGACGACGGACGACGGACGACGGACAAAAGGCGATCGCAATAGGTCACTTGAGACTTTGTCTCAGGTGACCTAAAAAGATTAAAAACAATAGGCCCAATTGGTCTGTAACATATACACCTTATATTAACTCATTCACCCCTGAAATTTCATAATGAACTATTCCAACCTTTGAATTGGAAGTGTTCAAATGTTTCTTCAGGGGTGAATGACAAATCTAACAAATTGAGTTGGTCAAAGTCAAATTTATCTAAACAACCTTGACTGCAAGTAAGCTAACACTAAGGCCAAAATAAGATAAATATCTACCCTTCCAATTTTTTGTTGAAATATTTAGATAAATATTTATTGTGTGACTCTCAAAGTTGGTCAAAGTCATTTCTTTTTAACAAATTTGATAGGCCTTTTGAGTTTTAAGGAAGGAATCATTCAAAGAAAAAGTTGATGCTGGACAGATGTATGAACGACATATGCCAAGCCATTGCATATTTAAAAGGTACTTCAGGTCAGGCGAGCTAAAAATAAAACAAATTGGTTTTGATCCGAATTGGTATTGATTCAATACGTGCACATACAGACACATCATCACCATACACATATATACAGAAAAACCTTGTTATACTGCCACCATTTTTTCAGAGAAATTTTGGCATTAATAAGGGTTATGGTGATAAATTGCCATTATATACAAAAAAAAATGCTATAGTGCCATCAATTGTCCAGAGAAATTTTGGCATTATAAAGGGGTATGGTGATAAATTGAGGAAAATGCATTGGGAATTCTTAATTCTTGAAATATATTTTAGCTACATGTAAGCAAGATGGCAAATGAAACGAGGGGCATTATATGAAAATTGTACAAACTGATTAATTATTTAGTCTGTGTTTTATGTCCTATTAACATCTACAGTCATTTAAGGACGTGCCAGGTTTTGGTGGTGGAGAAAAACCAGAGTTCAGGGAGAAAACTTACTGACCTCCGGCCAGTACCTGGCAACTACCACACGTAGGCTTTGAACCTGCTATGACTTTGACCAACTTTGAGAGTCACACAATAAATATTTATCTAAATATTTCAACAAAAATTTGAAAGGGTATATATTTATCTTATTTTGGCCTTAGTGTTAGCTTACCCAGTGGGGTAAATGATCAGACAGTCCTTAACCACACGGCCCTCTGGATAATCGATTTACAACAAATCAATGGAGCTACACCCTGTATACACTGTGAGTCAGTCTTCCAAGAAAGACCCTGAACTCATTCACCCCTGAAATTTCATAATGAACTATTCCAACCTTTGAATTGGAAGAGTTCAAATGTGTCTTCAGGGGTGAATGAGTTAATATGAGAAGGTCATCCGCAGTGGTATTGTGTGTGTGTGTCAATTACAGTAGCATCCAATTACTGGACAACTACTCAGAAACCTAATGGTCTATTATCTAAGCCTGCCCACCAAAACAGGGGGAATTTCCAAGAAAATCTCTTCCGAATATTTGATCAATTATATGGCGATGTCCAATTACTGAAATGTCTTCACCAGATTTCTTCTCATCTATTGTCTGTTACGGTGGTGAACCATCTGTATTGCTAGTTGATCACAACTGATTTGGCTTGTAGGGATTTTTCAACTTATATTAACACATTTATCCCCTACATATTTAAACTGGACTTGCTCAGTCTTTGATTTGGTAAGGTTCAAATGTGACTTTAGGGGTGAATGGGTTAATTAATCACTCTTGTTGGCCAAGATGGATGCACCCACAGGGTCTTATTGTAGGAGGAAACTGGAAAAGCGGGGAGAAAACCCACATTGCCAGACAGGTGACCTATACCTTTTCATGTCTGATCAGGGAGTTGAACCCCAGCTGTCTTGGAGAAAGGCAAGGTCGTTATCCACTGCGCCTCTTGACTAACCAACCGTTGTCATAGATGTTGAAAGTAAAACCTCTGTCTTATTACAGTCCTGAAAGTGGTCTCTTTATACAGGTGGTCTCTTTATACAGGTGGTCTCTTTATACAGGTGGTCTCTTTATACAGGTGGTTTCTTAATACAGGTTCAGTTTACAATGAAATTGCTACCATGAGGAACATTAAAAGCAGGTCTGACTGTATTTGATGAATGTAAATAGTGAAAAATGGAGAACATTACAATAACACAGGTGGTCTCTTTATGAAGTTGGTCACAGATTTGACTTGCTATCATTTACATATATCATACGTAACCCACTTTTCTTCAGGTAGGTAAATAGAGATTGAATCGAGACAAGGGGGATCATACACTCACACATCTATGACCTGGTATTTGATAAAGCGTAGCCAAATTGGTTTGTCAATTTGATCATCATTTTATAAATTTAGAGCAATTATGTAGGCATATGCTTATAGCATAGCTAAGTCGATGGTGAATTTATTGCCATCCTGTCCATTTTTTACATATTATTGTACATACACTTTACCAGCCATTTGTCTGATGAAGGTGACATATGGTATTAGTCATCGAAATGTCACCCATTTCCCTAGTTGTGTCATATGAATTTGTATAAAAACAAGAAGTGTGTTATTTGTCATAATATAAAACCTTAACTTTATTTTCACTGTAAAACCATATATTTCAGTATGTATAAAAAAGGTCATACAATGTAATAAAATGGAAAACAATGAAATGTTTGTTAAGTATACTGATTACCTGAGATATAAATATTCAAAGCATAATAATATTTGATGAGCAACAATTTGGCTGATTGAGAAAAACATCACACAACATTTTCATGAACTTTGTCCATCACTTTTCATATATCTATTCTCTGTAGGTCCACTCATAAATATTTCGAATGTCCTTAAATTTCTTTCAATGAGTTCAGCTAAACACGATATACAAAGATTAGTTTTTATACTTCTGATATAATATTTGCATTACTGTAACTCATCATTTTGCAAAATCAGAGAAGAGAAAAATAAAAATACCTGGGTTAGGTACCGTCAATGAAAAGAAGGCATTATCAAGTTGGAAAAAACATATCTCCCAACTTTCCCTGAATTGTCTCCCCTTTTATCGATCCAAATTTATTTGTCACCCCTTAGGGTATGGATGATGGCATGTGGAAAGAAACAATACAATGACGTCAGGGGAACAACAAATATGACGTCACAGCTTCCGAAGAGGATAGTCCATTGCAAATCAAACACGCCATTCTACTGTCATGTTGGGGCTATGACTGGCTTGGCCTGAAAACTTTGTCACTCAAACGCTTGGCCTGATAATTATGTCACTCAAAGTCTTGTCCTGAAATCTTTATCACTCAGATGCTTGGCCTGAAATCTTTGTCACTCGGAGTCTTGCCCGTGGAAATGGTTTCAACACTAAAGACTGCTGCCGTTTGTAAGAGTAACCGGGAGACAGTTTAAAGTCGAACTCGTGAATAAGGCAGGCCAGCACTGTTTTCATCTCCATGAAGGAAAACTTGTAACCAATGCACATGTATGGTCCAATACCAAACGGCAAGAATTTCCTGGATTCGTTGTCAATATGCTCCATAAAGCGCTCGGGCTTAAATGAGTCGGGATCTTCCCAGTTCAAACTGAAAACAAAAAGGAAAAAAACCGAACATGAAATCAGAATTGTTTAGGTTATATGCCAACTTTAATGCTAATTTAACATATTCAAACAGTTATTTCTTAAAGAAATATTCCCTTTCTGTTCTGAATTTTGTAATTTACGGAAGATGTTTTGCTTAGTTTTGTAAATAAGGCACCTTCTGCAACAGAAATGTTGCTATACAGGAGAATATTGAACAAGAACAATCCTGACATGTAACAAATTATCTGTTGAAACGGTGATAAATGCAATCAAACTAGGCTTCTTGTATAGTCCATAAAGTGAGGCATACAAAGCCCTCAATTTGACGTAACATTATCATAGTTGCCAACTTATTGAAATTTCCGTGAGAAAGATTCTACATGCTCAGAATTGAAACATAAATAAAATGTGTGTAGATACCCCCTAAAAACAAAATGACCCTCTAACTCATTCACCCCTGAAAACACATTTGAACTAATCAATGGTTGGAATAGTTCATTATGACATTTCAGGGGTGAATGAGTTAAATTGACATATTTTGAGGTGTTATGTCAGGAGAAATTACTAGATCTGAGAATATAGGGATATATATAGTTCAGCTAATATACTGGTTGAAAGTACTAAATGTACGGGTCCAAAATCAAGTCTACCTCCTAAATAGGGAGGGTTGGCAAGTATGCATTATTCCCGGGGTTCAGAGAATGTTTGTTAATGTAACCCCTTGAATTTCGAGGATGACTATTTTAAATACAGCAATACCGGTGTCATGTGAGATTTGTATCCCCCATGGGATAAGTACCCGGATACCAAAACTGGCCATAGGATAAGTATCCGGTTACAATATTTGGCCATAGGATAAGTATCCGGATACAACAAATGGCCATAGGAAAAGTATCCCCCCATAGGAATTGTATCCCCCTCAATTTTATTATGATATCAATGAGAAAATTGGAGAAAAAAAGGTAATTTGATCATTTACCTCAGAAACTTAATTTTTTGTAAACATGCAATGAATCAATATCTTATTTAATAATTGATTGATCTTATTCTATACAATACAAAATGATGGATTTATAAAACTGTTGAAATTATTTGAACTGTTGATTAAACCTGGCAAGGTCACTGAAGCAGTAATTATTGACACTTCAATAGAAAGAGACGAAGGTCTGTCCTCTGATTACCTGGGGCAGGGGAAAACTGTTAGCTGGGTGGAGAATCTGCCCTGGTAATGGCAGGGTGTTGTTTTAATCATTAGCACCTATTACCTGTACACACAGGTAGATGTAGGGATGGGGGAAAAGGTATAGGTCATTAGGGTCATTCTTACAAAGAAGCTGGAAGAAGCAACATGTTTTTTTCCAAATGTTAAAAGTACTCTTTTTATTCTATATACATGTGTATGTACGGCTAATTAATTATAAGATATTGTATATATATAGATCTCGCTCAATTTATTATCCAATTATCAAAAAAAAAAATCACTTGTATATTTCTCATTTGGAAAACAGATAGGTAATAGTAACATATATATCATTAGGAACATTTTTTATTCAAATTTATATCTGTTTCAAATCAAATTATTAACATTGATTCCTTCAATCATGATATTTGTCAAATAATGAATAAAGAATATGTACAAGTATATTTGAATAGCAGTAGACGATTGCCTTTGAAAATATCAGTCAAAGACACAATTGTTTCAAGAAAAATTGCGTAGATACCATTAGTGTTATAGTCCCATTCAATTAATTATATTATGCAATTATTCATACTGGAGTCCTCGAAATATGCAATTAAATGTGTAGTGTATAAAAGAAACTTTTTTAAATACAATAGATTCCTCTTAATTGCACAGCTAATTAGTTAAATAAGTCAGTCATATGACTTTAAGTTTCAGTTAAAATATATTATCATCATCAAAATAAATACACTGGTTCCAATGCTATTAAAGGATTATAATTTACAAATAAGTATGGAATTAAGTTGAATCAAAATGATCATCTTATCAAACTAATGATCTTTTTTTAACAAACAAATCTTTGTTTCCATTATTTTTCATAGTATAACTAATTAATTCTATCCTGGTCCTTAATGTCAGATCAATTTATTGTTAAATTAATTAAGCCTTATAATTTTGTATCATCTTCATGCTTATCAGTTATGATGCTTTACGATCATTAGTCAGACAAGCTGATTTC